ACTTCCCTGCAGCTCCACTTTTCCAAAGGAATTTCTAGGGAGAAAACAAAGGAGAAAATTAAAGATCCTGACCTGATTTCATTGTTGTTGTTAACAAGCAGGATGTGAACAATATAATTTTTCAGTAGTCTACAGAACTTTATGCCTTGGTGTCAAAACCAGTGAGACTCCTCAGGGTTACTGGGCAAATGCTGTTCATTGACTCAGTCTGCAGATATGTTCCAACCAAGATATCATGCAACTGCTTAGAAGCTATTGAGTTTTTCTCCCGAGTCTTGATAGACTTAGTATTCCCCAAAAGCATCCACAATCCCTTAACAAAGCTGTTATAAAATGATCTTTCAGTATTGATGAACTGTGTAGTCACAGATAGTTTGGCAGGAGGTTCATCTCCCTTAATTTAGACATCTAGAGGTCATCTGGATTTTTAGTGAACAGTTGTCAGGAACCTCCAAAGAGCAATTCAGTTCATCCTGTCCTAAATTAAGGCATTTAGGTGCTGGGATGAATTGCCCTGCTGCGTGGATCTGGTTTGTTTTGATTTTGCACTGAGCAAAGAATAAGTTTGGACACTATCCTAGACAAGGTGCTCTACTTTGGACCTCATTCACCTGCACCTCATTCAGCGTGCTCGGCGAGGGTTTTCTTAGCATGACATGTCAGTGAGCTTGAGCTTGTACCACCACAAACCTGAGAGACTGTTGTGGTTTGGGTCTAACACGACAATAAAGAACCAGCCCCGTGGCTGCTCACTCGCCCACACACACACACTCTGTGGGATGGGGAGGACAAAGGCCAACTTAGAAACTTGTGGGTTGAGACCCAAGGACAAAGAGGGTTCACTCACCAATAATGGTCATGGGCAAAACAGACTCAACTTGGGAAAAAAATAATTATTTATCACTGATCAAATGCGTAGGGACATAGACAACACAAAACCAGTGCTTAAATACTTCACCCCACCCCTCCTCTGTCGCCGGGCTCAAATTACTTTGTTCCCCATTTCTCTCCCTCCTTCCCCCCACGGAGACAAAGGATGGGCTTTAGGATCATTTCACAGTCTGTTGTTTCCTGCTGCTCCTTCCTCCTCAGCGAGAAGGATTCCTCACAGTCTTCCCATTTCCCCACGGGGTTGTTCCCACGGGAGAGAGTCCTTCCCAAACCAACCCGACACGAGTCCTTCCCCCAGGAGGTGCAGGAGCTGCTCCAGCCTGGGCCTCCCCTGGCGCAGGCTCTTCCAGGGCTGCACACCCAGTCCCAGGGGCTGCAGCTCCGCATTCGCCCTCTTGGCTCGTCCAGGGGCTGCTCCGCCGTGTTCGTGCCCGGGGCACAGCGGGGCCGCCGTTTGCCGAGGGCTGCGGGGACCTTGTGCCGCTCCGCTCCTCATCTCCGCTCGGGTCTTTCATGTGTTAATGGCAGAGGCGCGTCTGTTGTCTCTCTCATGGCTGTGGCCTTGGACACCTGAGCTGGGGAAGCTTTTAGCAGCTTCTTACCGGAGCCCCCCCTGGGCTCCCTCCCCCGCTAAACAAAACCCGCCAAACCAGCACCGAGAGTGGGAGGAAGAAGAAAGGAAAACCGAAAAGCTCCCCAAAGGAAGGCAGATGAACCTGAACTTAGGAATTACACGTGTGAGGTGGATGACGCTCAGTTTGGCTGAGGCTTCTGGTTATTGTCTCTAGACGATAACTTTCTGGATGCTCCATGGACCATTCTAGCTGTGTGTGCCATTCCTTGGAAGTGCCAGGCACAGCTTTCTGAAGGCACAGCTTCCTGACAGGCACAGCTTTCTGAAGGCACAGCTTCCTGACAGGCACAGCTTTCTGAAGGCACGGCTTCCTGACAGGCACAGCTTTCTGAAGGCCCAGCTTTCTGAAGGCACAGCCTCCTGACAGGCACAGCGTTCTGAAGGGACAGCACAGCTTTCTGAAGGCCCAGCTTTCTGAAGGCCCAGCTTTCTGACAGGCACAGCTTTCTGAAGGCACAGCTTCCTGACAGGCACAGCTTTCTGAAGGCACAGCTTTCTGAAGGCCCAGCTTTCTGAAGGCCCAGCGGGGCTTGCAGGGCAGCCTGGCTGAGGCCCCACAGCACACAACTTGAGCTCCCCTTCAGGCCTTGCTGCAGCCTGGAATCGGTAATCCCTTTGCATTTATAGTTGCTTATTGCTCTCTTTAGGCTCCTTTTGTGCCAAGCACTCACGGTAGTTAATTATTAGCCAATAATAACTACTTGTCTTTGCTTAAGCTGCACATCTCCCCCTTCATCAGAGGTGGTGTTGTGTTAAATGGAGCAAAACATCAGAAGTTCAGCAAGAAAGGACAGGGAATGTCTTCATGTCCTGTTTAATCTAGAAAGGAAGTAAAACGGAGTAAAGTATGGCAATCTAACCAAATAAATCTGAAAGGGTATGAGCTTTTCTAAAGTTTAAAGAGTCAGTCTCTGCCACTTACATACTGCTTTGATCTTACTTCTGACCCTTTGGGATGAGGAAAGCTTTTTGTTCCTTCATTCTGGAGTTGTAGTTCGGGAGGCTGGCACTAGCATTCTAACCTCCGAGTGGATCTAATTCCCGTTTTCCCTCAGAAACTCATCCTGAGAGGTTAGAAGCAATAAAAGTATTTGTGGGAGGAGTGATGAATTCCTTCCCTGTTCGGTTTATATGAAACTGATGAAACATAAACAGCTCTCTGGTGCAGCAGCTCAGCGAGGAGGTGGGCTGCTGTCCCAGCATCTTACAGGAAGCAGGCTGAGAGCTGGAGCAGGAGTGGTGGATGTTTATCATTTGTGCAGATAATGGAGGGGGAGCTTCTGAGCCTCCCTGCTGTATAAATTGCATGGTACGTTGCTTTGACCCTGTGAGTAGGAAGCTGTGTCTTGACTGTGAAGGGTTTAGACATCTTAACCTCGAGCAGCATTGAACAGTGGTAACTGAGAACAGCTTTCTCGGAGGTGGTTATGTAGCAACGATTGGCAGATACATTGAATGCTCTTTTGCAGTCACTGTAATTTGAATATGATGTTCAGACTTCTAAGCTGTCTGCTCTGGCATCAAAAGAAAACGATTGCTCCTTTTTGTTGTAAATAAATTCATGTTTCAGTTGAGGACTCTTACGGAAGTGGAGAGCAGAAAGAACAATTTATTATTAGATCTGTCACTTTAAAATACGTTCCCACTTTGATTCTGCTTTGAAGCATTCTCGTTTGAAGCAGCATTAAAGTATTTAAATATGTACGAGTCCTAGCAGGGGGAGATTACAAGTTGTGACACTTTTCAACCTTGGGTTTTTTTATGGTTTGCAGGTTTTTTTTCCAGGGGTTTTCCATTTTAAGTGGGGTTTTTTACTGCTTGGAATAAAAATGGCCATCCATTTAAAACTGCATAAAAATATTTGGCCAGTGATTGGGAAGAAAGCATTTTGTTTATATGTAAAGTAGAAACTAGTTTGTATAATTCATTATGCACTTTATGCAGTTCATGAAGCTTCTGTTTAGCAATTTTTAGAATTATCTTTCTTACAAAAGTACATTCTTATTTTCAAGTTTGCTCCTGATTGCAAGGTGTGCAGAAGTGGTGTTAGTTTTTATGTTGTTGGTGTTTCATGTAAACTATTGCCAGAAAAATCTCTACAGTAAAGTAAAAATTGTTTGGTCTATCAGACACCTTACATTCACAGATTTATTCTTATAGATTAGAAAATAAACATAATTAGATTGATGTCTCATGAAGATAACAGGAGCAAAAAAGTTGTTGCCTAATATGCCTTACAGGGTAAAATGCACATGGAAATTGTGAAAAGCTTATGAAATTCATGGGCATGATTCTGTTCATTCCTCAAATTTCTGACTTGGCGCCGTGCACCTGTGTTTTTGCATCGCCCTGGTTCAGATCTTTGGGTGGTTTCTGACTCGTGCAAAGCTTTGAGCAGAGCCAAGAGGAGAAGCTGGGAGTGAGTACAAGAATGGAGCAGCACGGGACCAATTCCTTTGAAAAGTGTGTCTGTTTGGTTGAAGATAAGTAAATGAATTCACCAGCCTTTCCCTGCAGGATTTATTATTTCAAATGCCTGTGACTAAATTTCCAATATGCTGCTCTGGTGACAACTATGGATTTGCAGTGTTGTCTTTCAGTGATCAGGACATGCTGGCTTCATGTGTTTAACTCTTGAGGGATAAAAGTGTTTGGTTTTGCTTTCTTTCAGGCATTTCTATAAAATGGTTTAAAACACACAGTAGTCTAATATTTTAATCCAGAAATTAAAGATGAAAAAATCTGCTAGTTTTATGGTAACCTGGAAGGTAGCTAGGACCAGAAATCAAAGCCAGAAGACCCATTACATAAGATGTCGTTTCCTTTCATCTCAAGTTCTGTATCTACAGAGTTGTGGTGTTGCAGATTCCTCCTCTCTCATCTCAGTGAGTGGAGGCTGTGGAGAAACACTGAGTCTTTAGGAAAATGGGGTTTGCATCATGATTCTGGCTGTTCTGCAAGGGTTGTTCACTCTGAAAATACAGAGGTGCATCTACAGCTTTTGAAGCAACATTTGGAGTCTTCTTTTCATACTTCTCAGATTTGCCTTTAACAATATAACTGAAATCTTACTTCAGTTGTTCCCCAGAAGGGATCAGGAAGAAATTTTTCACCATGAGGGCGGTAAGGTGCTGGAACAAGTTGCTCAAGGAGGTTGTGGATGCCCCCTCCCTGGACGTGTTTAAGGCCAGGTTGGATGAGGCTTTGTGAAGCCTGGTCTAGTGGGAGGTGTCCCTGCCCATGCAGAGGGATTGGAACCTGATGATCTTTACGGTCCCTTCCAACCTTCACCATCCTGATTCTATGATGTTATCGGTTTGGAAGCCAAGAATACAAGTGCAGATGAAATGCTTTTGTAAGCTCTAACTTCTGCTAAGAAACAGTTCTTTTTTTGTGTGTTAATATTTTCTTAATGGGCAAAGCCAAGTTTGGCCATTATGGTTAAGTGTGTAATATGTTGTTGTTTGTTTTACAGAAGTGAAGATGCAGTCAATCAGATGGCTGTTACTCCTTTCCCGTTACCTTCCAGCTCCCACTCTTCTATTGAGGTGAGGTTTGTAGGTTGTTGTTTTTTCATTAGGGATTGCTAAATTAGATAGATTAATCAGAGTTAGTAGTTCATCGTAAATTAAAGTACCTTGTCTAATTAAACCCTGAATCATAAAATGCATTGTATAGGAGCTTGACCTAATAGGCATATATTCCCATCTCTTCTATTAATCTCATTGTTACTGAGAGGGCTGGCATGACATTAATGACAGGTATTAAGCAGATTATTGCTGTACAGTTTGAAGGAAAGTCTCCCAGTGACAACCTTGCTGTCTCCTGTCCTGCTCCTTTTTCAGCTGGTTAGAGTAGTCCATGCCTGGAACATGGATATCCTTCTACAGAAGAGAAATAAGCATTTTTAAGGGGAAAGCTCCCACTTCCAAAGTTCTTTTTTCCTCCAGAATACCTTCTCATAAGCATCCTTAAAAACAAAGAGGGATGACCTTCAGCTGGCTAGGTAAAAGAGGTCACTGTGTGCATGATTTGCATTACAAGAGTCCCTTGAGACAATCCAGCCTCACTGAGAGCCCTGGTCCACCACTTTTCCCTGTGCCCCAGCCTTGAGCGCACTCATTCCTGAAAAAAATTCAAGCTCTAGTACATGGTGTTGTAGCATACAATCTTCCAATGCAAAAACTTCCGTCATCTTACCAGTGTTTTTCTTCATTATAGTTGCTCTCTCAGCCCCAGTGTAGACTGATTGCTCTCTTGAGCACCATGAATCCCTGCAGTGTCACCACATTGTTACCATTCTGACATCTCAGTCTGGTGTAACTAAATTATCTAGATAAAGTACATGGTTAGCCTTGCTGTTGCTTTTTAATTCTATTTCTATTTGAGCTAATAAAGCAAAAAGATGTTTTGTAATTCAATTGGGATTTGGTCTTGCCTTGAATTGATAAATTCACATGCACTGAACTCCTGGTATTTCAATGAGCATTACTGTGATCCCACGGTAGGTAATGCTGAATGATTCTCCTCTTTGCATGCTTTCTATTGCTTTCCAGATCATAATACCACTGGTAGCTACTTCTATACAGGCACAGTGTTCTACAGTGCAAGAGCTGCTTAGTTCTTGTTTGGATCTGAACCATTTTTGGATAGTGCTTTGGCATGTCCTCTTCTCCATAAAAGCAGCATGTCCCAGGTGCAGCTGGTGGATTGCAAAGCACTACAATTTACAGAGCCCAAGGTTGTTTTGGTTTTGTTTACTCTTTAATACCTGCATTTGTTCCCAGCTTTGTTTAATATTTGTGTCTTCAGGGTGAACCAGGAAGCTTTGTTTAGGCACATCCTGTGCTGTGGTCAAATGACTGTGATTGAACTCTACCAGCACATGGAAACCAAAGATCTCAACCTCATGTGCAGGGTTTGCCTTCAGCGGCAGATGCCTGTGAATTGAGTTTCAGGCGTTCATGACAGGCTCTTACTATTTATCCTGCGTCTGTTTTATTAGTAAATGCAGGTTTTTTACATTTAGAATCATAGAAAGCTTAAGATTGGAAGGGACCTTAAAGATCATCAGGTTCCAACCCCCTGCCATGAGTAGAGACACCTCCCACCAGACCAAGCTGCATAAAGTCTCATCCAACCTGGACTTGAACACGTCCAGGGAGGGGGCTTCCACAACCTCTCTGGGCAACCCAGTCCAGCACTTTCCTACCCTCATGGTGAAGAATTTCTTCCTGATGTCTAACCTAAATCTCCCCTCTTTCAGTTTAAAACCACTAACCCTTGTACTATCACTGCCACATAAGGTGAAAAGCCCCTCCCTAGCTATCCTGTAGCCCCTTCAGGTACTGGAAGGTGCTCTTAAGTTCTCCCCAGAGCTGAGCAACCCCAGCTTGCTCAGTCTGTCTTCCTAGCAGAGGTGCTCCAGCCCTTTGATCATCTTCGTGGGCCTTCTCTGGACCCTCTCCAACAGCTCCATGTCTTTCCTGTGCTGAGGGCTCCAGAGGAGTACACAGTACTCCAGGATTCTGCCTCACCAGAGCAGAACGAGGGGCAAAATCACCTCCCTCTCCCTAGTATATTTTTATTATATAAAATAATGTAACCAAAAGATACTGCTGCTGTATAGAAACATACATTGCATTACTTTGTCAGCTCTTCCTGTCTTTAAAGAAAGCAAAACAAAACTGAGTATGCATTGTATCTTGAAATTATATATTCAAATATCAAATATTTAACATTGTGTGTTACCCACACTGGACACAAAACTTGTCAGATCACATTAAATAACCTAACACAGTGCAACAGAACATCAGAGTGCCATAGTTACCATGTACTACTGTGTTAATTTTCTTTATCTTAAAGTGGTAAATAGCAAACATGCCTTAAAACAGGGTCTTGCTTCATCGCATGGAGTTACAGGATAGATAAGACTTACGTTGTGCTGTAATATTGTGGGCAAGCTACCAGAAGAAAAATATATTAAATATTAATTACTGTAAAATGTCTGGTTTTAAAAAGTTGAATTCATCAGAAATGTGATATTTTGTTGCAATACTGAACAGAGTAAGCCTTGCAGGAGTGCAGGGGTACTTAACCCACTTAAGTGGCAGTTGAAACATTTGCATAATTCTCATTGTGCACTTAAATATGAAATGTCTAGTGAATATTCAGAAATAATTTTGCTTATAGGGCTGAAGATCTTGAAATTGTATTTGTTGCACAGTGTCTAGTGAAAAAAATATGAATATGAAATGTCTAGTGAATATTCAGAAATAATTTTGCTTATAGGGCTGAAGATCTTGAAATTGTATTTGTTGCACAGTGTCTGTTTTGCTTTACAAGAGAGAAGAGCTCCAAATTTGGATCAAATCCTTAAATGTGTTACAACTATTTTAAAATAAATCAAAATAATAGATAAAAAATAATTTTAGATTCAGGATCTGGTTGGTATAAAAAAGGGAAGGAGAATTAACACAATAAATTTTATATGTAACTGAATTATTGATACTCTAACCATTAAATGCTAACTTAACATTTTCCCTGAGAAGATGCAATTTCCTATCTATTTTAATTTTAATTTTCAGTATTAGAAGGACGTGATTTTTCTTGCAAGCATGTGCTTCTTAAATATATACTAGTTAGTATGTAGAGAAAATACCAGAAAGTCTTGATCAAACAAGCTTTTCTGCTTGGTGTGGTGCTGTTCTTCGTTTCTTGTTCGGAATCCTCTACAGAAAGGGGAAAACTTCATGCAGGAGACAGTTATGGAGAACATCTTGGTGAAAATACTTACATCTTCTGGGCCATTACCTTCATTTGCTGGCTCCTCAGTAGCTGTCACTGAACCTCATTTGCAGTATTCCCACTGTAATGTGCAGGAGAACCTGAATTCTGAGGCTACATTTGCACTTCAAGTTGAGGCTTGTGCTCCAGTGCTGGCTTTAAGCCTTCTGAGCTTGGTGGCCATGTGTTCCAACCAGAAAGAAGAGCATCAGCTTTACTGTTTTCTTCAGGATGGAGCACTCAATCCTGCTGCTGCCAACCTGTTCAGCTGGTATGAAGGAAACTGGGCTTTCTTTAAGGTGCTGAACATGCCTGAGACTCTTCCTCCCAACAGAAATCTCGAGAAGACTTCTTGATACAAGCTCAGCAGCTTTCACAGTTGATAGGGATTATTCTGGCCTTGAAAGGTGCCCCCAAGCGCTTGTATAGGACTACCTCATGATACTTCAGGCCAACCAAATGGTGACCAAGGTCTGTCTTTCAAAACTTATTTACTTGTCTCCTGACAATTGTGGATCTTTACTTTTCCATGTTACTACTTGTTTAGAAAAAGACATAAGGAAAGCTATCACGGTCTAATTTATTTTTTGTTTAGCTGTTATAGGGGAATCACAGCTCTGTTTAAAAACTGTTATTATTACTTTCTACCAGGACCATGGCGGCACTGAACCCACAAACAATGAAGAAGACCTGAGTTTGGAAGTTGTCATGAAAAGTTTGACTGATGAGGAATCCAAAAAAACTGTAAGTGATTTAAAGTGATACTTAATGATGATTAGAGCTTAAAAACCGATTTGTTTTTTCAGTGCCATTGTGTTGGAGTATTACAGCACACTTTGGTCAAATAATATCCAGCACATGTGAGAGCAGAATCAAGCTCTTAGCTTTATATTCATAGACTATTTTTCTGAACTAAGCAGTCAGTATAATTTGTTAAAATACTGAGATAAGAGTTTTTATATAGCAGTTTGACCCTCTCTTGAGTTCTTTCTCGATGAGGGGATTGAGTTTCCACTCTTGCCATCCATGTATGACAAACTTCAGAAAAAAACATGGTCAGTAAATCATATTCTTATTTATATTCATAGCTTCATAAATTCTAAGGCCAAAATGTCTATTATCATAATCTAGTCTTGCCTCCTGAATAGCACAGCTATAGAGTTACTCTCAGTAATTTCTACATCAAGCCAATAACTTCTGGTTTAATGTGGTGCTGTCAGTGTGCACTGTAATAAATACTGAACTTCTCATTGAAACAGATGGAGTTTTTTGTTGTTTAATATGTCAGGACTGTGCATTATCAGAAATCTGAAAGTCCTTCAGGGCTCAGCTCTAATCTCTTTTTTTTTGGACTCTATGTTAAAAGTTTAAAATGGAAAGCTACTAGACAAGCTGAGAAGTGACTAACCTGGAGGTACATAAAATGTGCTGAGACAGGCTTTTTGTCCAACAGCTCACTCCTCTTTCAAGGAGTGCATGGGCTGAGACTTGCTGTGCATGCGCGGTTTGTGTGAGCTGTCCTCAGCTAAGGAAACCTGACTTTGCTGGATTTTTTTCCTTAGATGTCATCTTCTGCTCCATCGTGTCTTTTGCAAAGACTGTCCTACAGTTTTGCAAATATGAATTGAATATACATAATGTTCTATAGCTTGTAAGTATTTAATGAGGCAGTCTATGAACTCCCAAGAGTTCAGTAGTGTTCAAGCATCAGAATTAACCACCCATGTAAAATGGAATGGTTTGTGTTTCTAATGGATTACAAAACAGTTGGTCTGTTAGTATTTGGTAGCCTTGTGCAGAATCCTCCTTGGATGCACAGGAATATAAATGAATCAGAGTTTTGTTGTATGTATTTGCAGGTGTAATTCACCTGTCTTTATTGCTGTTCTTGCTCAGCTTGGCAAGAAACCTGAGGGATTACAAGGCAGTACGAAAAACTGCTCTGAGACTGAAGTGGATAAAAAGACTGTACAAAAATTAACTCTTGGTGTGTAGGATATTTGCTGTGCAGCTTTTTGAAGCCTATTAGGGGGAGCATGAATTTAATGGAGTAAAAAATTTGCAGCAGTCCAAGGCAAGTGTGGAGGGAAGATGCCACTGGAAGAACAGGGAACCTGGAAATATTTTGGCAGTTTCTGCTCAAGCTTGAAGCAAGAAAGAAGGGAACGGTAGAGCTGAAGAGCAGAGGTTACAGTAATTTAAACTGAAAATTAAAAAAAAAGTGTTGGTGGTAAGAGTTGTCCAGAACAGGGCAATGGCGGGAAGGTGAGAGAAGACAAAGGCATGGATTTGTTGAGAGCCTCTTGGTGAGGAGAACATCAGAACAGCACTTGGCTTTTCTTTCCACCTGTTCATACCAAGTTATCTCATCTTTCCACTTCAGTTGTTCATGTAACAGCAACTGGCTGCTACAGTTTACTTTCTATCTTGGGGATTCAAAAACACTTCATCCAGCAGGCCAGTGTTATTAACCCTGCTGCAGCACAGAGGGAGAGCAACCTGCCCAGGGTCACTGGTGAGACCAGGAGGCAGTGAATGTGTCACTCTTCTGGCTGCTGTATAGCCCTGCCTTCATTCAGTGGACATTTGCTCTGAGGTCACTCTCTGATTTTTCCATTAGATAAAGAGATACTGAAAAGTTAAGGGCTAGGAGATGGATGTAGAAAAATGCCTGTAGATCCATAGCAAAGAACCTAGAGATCCAATTGCTCATTCCATAATGCCTTCAGTTGGGCCAGCCCTTGATCTAGAGGTGTAAATGGATGAAAAAGCAGGAAAAGCCAGTTTCTTTGTCTATTCAGAGTTTTCTTTCAATCAGAATTTTAAAACTAGATAGAAAAAACTTCTAAGTGGATCTTAATTTTGTAACTGCTGCTGGTTATGATCAGTCCCCTCTGACCAGGAGGAAGTGGGTTTGAGTTCATATGGGCATTATTAAGACTTGGACACTGCAGGGCAGCACAAGACAGGTCGTTATTTGAGGAAACTAGATTTCTCTTGCAGTCTTCTTAGTGACTGTTGAGGCAAAAGAAAACAGTGCCTTGTTTTTCATTGCACGATGGTTGCTACTACAGTCTTAGACTGCTTCACAATTGTTACTGAACTTCTCTGTCATAAGGAGAACTTCTCTACATAAGGAGAAATTAGGAAGGTGAAAGTTAACAAGTAAGATCAAGTTCACTGAGTAAATAAAAAGTATGTGCTTATCAGCAGAGATCTTCCACAAGTATGTACAGCTCAAAGCACAGGCAGGATGTCTCACCAAGTGACAGCTGCAATAAATTAAAAAAAAAAAAAACAACAAAATTTAATATAATTCTCTTCTCATTTGTTGCTGATAAGTTTGTCAGTCTCTACCAAAATACTTTCTGCTGTCACTTCATCACTTTAGAAAGTACGAAGTTATATAATAGACATCATTGTAGATTGGAGATAAGGGGGTGAGGGAAGAAAACTTTATTTCTGCAGTGGAGCCAGTGGAAGTGTTAGGCAAAGTCTATATGCTTATTAGCTGAGGTTTCAGGTGGCTTGATAGGAGGTGGTGGTTTTCTGGGGACTGTAATTTTCGTGCTTTTTCCATAAGGTGTAATTGGAAAAGAATTGGTATATGGGGCTTTGGGATGTTCTCAAAACTTCTAACTTTAGAAAGCTGAAAATGGCTTGAGCAGTTGCTGTGTGTGCTCTGGAGCATTTCGCATCCTTGGTGTCCTGGCAGAGCTTAGTTTTATTTCAGTGTCCTGTAGGTGGGATAATTAAACTGATGTTTGGTGTGTGAGAATGGATTCATTTTCCTTAAAAGATTTGAACTGGGAATGATAATCTGTCTTTACCATGAACAGAAAACAAGTCCTTGAAACATTGGTGAAGAAGGTCATAATAAAAATGTTTTTGGATGCATTTGAGGGAATTGAATTAAATTAAACCTGTTGGGTCACAGGTTTACAACAAATTAAATGCCTGAGGGAACTGGGAATCCTCCTTTGTTCAGGTACCTTAGCATAGTCTGAGTTAAATACAAAAAAGACTAGAGAGATTTGAAGGTGATGCTGGGTACTGGCTTTATGTGCAAGATGAAGTTTGAGATTTTAGTCACATATCAGAATGAAAAAAGGAAGTATGAAACAATTTTTCATTGCTCATTAAATCAGTCTCTTAGAAAATGACAAAGCAGTCTTCCCATTTCTCCCCTGACACCTCTGATAATACAATGAGATCACCACTCTATCTTCTTTCTTGTTATCCATTTGGATAATAGCTACAATTGTATCATTACAGCAGGCTCAGAGACAAATGCAGGAAAAAAATGCGGGGGAAAAAAAAAAGCCTGTGGGGCTTGATATGATTTAACATAATAAAACTGTAGGAAACGGCCAGTATTTTCAAGCTTGGTTACCTAAAATTTTATTTACGTATTTTTTAAAATATGTATGAATTGTCATCTGAATTAGAAGTTACTTTGAGATGCAGAATGTATCTGTTGTCTTTTGAAGTTGGTACTCTGCTTTTTTGATTATTAGGCTATTTGTCAGGTTGGGGCTTTTTTAGCATGGGGGGAGGTAGCTAATACTGTGATCAAAGTGGCCTACGAGCTGACATGGAGAGGACACTGGAGCTGCCTGAAAGCAGTTGTAGAAGTAGGACACATCACTGTGTTTACCTACAATCATCAGTTTGAGTTTTGGAGGGCATTTTATTTAAGCTATTTTGACATTTTCTTTCTGTTTTGACTGTTTAGGATGTGAAAAATAAAGTTGACAAACCAGTGCTAGTGGAAAAAGCAGGAAGTGGAGGAGCAGCTCCCAGAAAATGTAAGTGTGGTTATGTTAACCCATTTTGGAGGTGTTCTGGGGGCTTGGTCTGGTTGAAGATGGAGTGATTTATGGGAGAAAGGTATTAAATGGGGAAATGTAAAAACAATTTTCCAGGGGGCTAGGGGGAACTTAAAAAATTACTTGCTTCTCTTTAATGATGTGGAAATAGTCACACGGGCTAATGTTCTTTGCTATTTAGAAGTAAAAAAAAAAAACAAACAACCCACAGTATTTGATATAAGAGGCACAACTGGGAAAGGTGAAGTCCTGTCCCTACTTCCTTCATGAGCCTTTATGGAAGCACAGTTATCCACTCATCCTAATTTTCCATTTATTTCTGAGAGAGAGAATGTTTTCAGATCATCTGTGCTTATTACTTGTTTCCCTTCTATTGACCCAGTGGATTTAATAAGGTACAGTAATACTGATGATGTCCACATAACATGCCTTTCTGCTACTGATCTCTTTTGCTTCTGCTTTGCTTTTAGGTCCTCAACCAGATCAAACAATCCAAAACTGCAACAAAAGTACCAGTCAACTTACAGGAGATATCCATGGTGTCAGCACCTACTTATCTTTCTCCAGAGGCAGGAGTCACCAGCCATAGTATGAACCAGTTGTTTTTTCCACCAATATAATATATATTTACTACCCTAACCCAAGTTTAATCTTTTTTTTTTTCTCCAGATAGCTTTTACTGAGAATTTTTTCTTTGACCATCAAATGACCTGTTCAAGTTATTTTATAGTATTTGTGTTTTTCTCTCATTTTGTGAATCTTGAGAGCCTGAAAATGTCTCTGCTTATTTTTCTTGACTTTTACATACAAAAGCATTGTTCCTCCTTTTTATTAAAGTAAAAACAGAAGGAAAGGCAATCTGGGACATCCTATCCATTCCACAATGCTGGGATGTGGCCTTTATTGTCCCCAGTGGAATAACACACCTTGCTATCATGATCTGGACTGTATAACTGAATTAAATGTCCTACCAGACATTTGCTCTGAACCTTCACTCCCAGACCTCTGAAGTTGTTCTGATTTAGAGGCTTCAGAAGTGACTTGGAGTAGTAGTTCAATTTAGATTTGTAAAGGTGAAGAGCAAAATACAGGAGCTTAAGTACCTGCTCTGATGTGATTCCTTTGATGGTTTTAATTTTCCCATTAAATTCTTTACTTTTTCATGTTCTTAGGCATCTTTCCACCTGCATTGCCTGTGGATCCAGCGACATGTCCTATAGTTCCAGGGCAAGAGATGACTATAGAGATATCTAAGGGTCGGTCAGGTCTGGGGCTCAGCATCGTTGGGGGGAAGGACACTCCACTGGTGAGTTTCTGTTAAGCTACTGTCTCTGCTCAAGAATAAGAGACAAAGAAATTAGTCTGTGTTTGCTCTAATTAGTTGTGCAGTATAGGGAGGAGAAACCAGTGACCACAGTCTCCAATCACAAATTATTAATTTTGCCTTGTATCAGATCAGTTATTTTCTATTCCTTGTTAAACTCAGTTGTGTTTCAGCAGTGCTTTCTGCTATGCTCAGAGTTTACAAATATGTATTATTTTTTTAACTATTGTGAATTCAGCAGGTAAGTTACCAGAATGGTTGAACTGGAAATTAATATCCCAGAAGTAGAGCTACATCAGCGAGCTAAACACCTCTGTCTTGAGAGCATAAACGCTTAGTAGCTGTTCAAACAAACTGAGTTACCACCCTGCCAGCAAAAGCCCTTGCTGAGCAGATGTAAACCAAAGGGAGGGGTTTTTTTTCTGTGTCTTTTTGCTTAATCTTGCACTTGGCTATGCTGTTTATTAAGAAAAAAGTATTTTCAGCTAAATTAAAATAGTTCAAGTGTAAACTCAGCAAGTTAGTTAAGCTAAACCCTTCTCTGTCCCTGCTGCTGTGGTTCCCACTCCACTTTCCGTTTAAGAGATGAGATGTTAAAGCATAACAGAATGTCAGAGTGTTTCTTTTAAATGTCATGTTCAGTTCTTTCAGTAAACAAGTCTGCTGCAGAGGTGTCTTTCCTGGCTTCTCCTGAATCCCCTGCCGCAGAAACACGCAAAGCAATAGAGCTGCTCTGTTACATGCAGTTGTTCCCAAAAATCTCATGGTGGTGCCTCATTAAGTAGTGAAGTGCTGTGAGAAGCAGCAGCCTCAGGAAGCTGCAGCGTAGTAATCCTTTTCCAGACCAAGAAAAAAGAGGGGGAAAAAAAAAAAAGAAAAGGAAGTTGAAAGGAAAAATAAAGTTTTGTTTTGCAAAGTGTAGGCTGTATATTTTACAGTATTAAAGCTAAAATTGGAAAAGGTTCAGCTTTTGGTCCCATTTATTCAAGTCTCTGATTATGTAGAGTTTGGATGAAGTGCTCTGTTTAACATGGAGATTGACCTGAGTTATGCTGAAGGCTTAAATCAGCCTGTGTGGCTCTCACTCTGCCAGCCATGCCCTGGTTTGTACCCAGGGCCTTTTTTGTCAAGCTCCTCAGTGCTGAGGAAATTCAAATAGGAAGTTCAGCATTAGTCATCCCTCTGCTTTTTCATTTAGCTGGAATTTGGAAATAATACGTAGCAGTCTGTCAGACACAATCTGGTACATGTCTTTCAGGAGATTTTAATATAAATAAATGAAAATTATAAATATCTGCTTTGCAGAGCAGGGAAAAAAAATGCAGAGGATTTGGTTCTTTAAACTGAGTAAATGGTTTTGGTTAAGTATTATACTTTCATTAGTTTATTCAATAAAGTGTCCTCCTAGGAATTTATTTTTAAAATCTATGTGGTTGATTGCAGTGACTGAAACCCATGAAGGAGAGAGGTTCAACTTCCCACATTTCTGATCCTCACATTGCAGGGCTTACCAAAATGAATCTCTGTTTCTTTTCGTATGCCTGAATCTGCTCGTACAAAGGCAAGCAATGTAGTTTCAGAGGAAACAAGTTGGTTTTGTGGGACCACAGCCTAATCTGATCATCTGCCATGTGCAAAAACTCTCTCTGGGATTCTTCATAATTTGCTTATCCAAAACAATGTGTGCAAACCCTTCTCCTCAAAGCAGGTAGCCAGGGTTGTCTCTCTAGCTCTTGGGATCATCGTCACTCTTGACTACTTTGCACTACTGACCTCCATACCATTTTCATGCCTTCCTTTTTTGCCATGAACAAAATTAAGAGGGGTGAAAGAAAATACTACTCAGGACTGTAGGGAAGTTTGTCTTTCTGGATTTTTTGGGCTAGAGAGGAATACAACAAAATTAGGTACATGGAGCTGAGTGATGGATCTTGTCTTGCTCTTCATCATTTGTTTTTAACTTGGGGATGTACTTGGATATCTTTTGTATTTTTCAGAAAGGCAAAATAGATTGACTTGCAGCTTCACTGCTTATGTGTTATGCATAAAAGATCATCACTTCTGAAGATCTTGTATGACAGGAATTGTGTATCCAAGACCTCTGCAGTGCAGAGAAATTAAGATGAAGCTATAATTGACTTAAGCACTTCAGGTTTGGATTTTTAGCTATTTTTGAAATGGGAATTGTCAGATCAAAGTCAGAAAGAATGTGAGTAGCACCATCTGTAAACATCTATGCAGGCATGAAAAAGGGATGCTATCTTCATGCTCTTCTAGTTCAGCTGCTGCACACAAGTGACAGAAGTGAGATGTCCCAGTGGGGCCATGGAAGTGTGCTCCATCAGGGACAAGAAAAAGCAAGGCAGGGCAGGGGTAGATCTGCAGGAGCAGTGCCCATGTGTGCCACAAACAGCTGCAGAGACTTATTCTTTTACCTTTTTGTCCTCTGAGAAAAGACAACATGAGCACATATTTCTTCCTCCCTTTTCTATCTTTATTTTGTACGTGCATGTGTGTAAGTGCCTATGAAACAATGCAGGTTATCAACCCCAGTTCCTCGATCTCAGAAGTAATTTATTGGTACAGGGAGCAGAGGGAAGTTTTGCCTTGAAAGAACTTGTCAAATCTAAGGGAGCTAAGGCAAGAGTATAAGGGCCTCATCTCTGTGGCATTTAAATGCATTTGATGTAAAAATGTTTGACAGAGTGCTAGTAGGCAGCACTGGTGCCCAGCAGTAGCTCATGTGTGATGGGAAAAGGTCATTTTGGAATGTTTTGGATCTTTCTTAAAGATGTGATGTGCAGTTCTAGCTTTTGGAATAATCTGGCAGCCTGCTAGAGGGATGCAGTGTTTCAAAATGAAATACAGAGTGCAACTTTTAAGTCATAACCTTAGGAATCTCATCAGAAATCACCAAGTAAAGACTTGGAAAATACAGCCTGTGAGTAGGGAGGTTAATTTGTTTGGGAGGTTTGAAAGTGATGTCTTAACCCTTGTGAAAGGTTTTTTTTATTGGGAAGATGACCATGCCATGAAGCTTGCACAAGCCTTCACATGGCCTGTGCTATCAACAAGGCCTGTGGCTGTGTGGTTAGGGGAGCAGGAGAGCATCAGCTAGGGAGATGTACTTGTAGAAAAAGCACGGGGATGGAAGCATTGTCCATGAGAGTTCTCTTCATGTCATTGATCTTTAGGCTGCTAAAGCCCTGAAGCAATTCTGTTTCATGTTCTTCCAAGGGTTAATGTTTTTTTTCTTTGCTGTCTTTCATTTCACCTTCCCATGTGCCCCTGAGAGAACACAACACATGGCCTCTGCTTTAAAGCAATTAAACTGCAGAGTGGAGCTGGCTGAAATACAGGGCTTTCCATTTGTGTGATTTTTTTTTGTTGTTGTTGTTGTAGTCCAATCAAACATGTAAAAGTAACCTCAGAGTGTTGGGGTTTTTTTAAAAAAAACAACCACCCTGTTTTCAGAAACATCCCCAAATGAGGTTTGAGGGCTCAGACTCAGCTCCCCAGGACACACAGTCCTCCCCTGGGTGCTGAATTGAGTATAAATGCTTGTCAGCTCCACCAGTGCTAAGAGCAGCCATGAACCTGACAGGGGCGTCATTGTCACCTATCAGCTGCCGGTGCTCCCAGGGCACCAGGACTTCTCCAGCCATGGGATGCCCGGAATTCCTGGATGCTGAGACCTGTTTGGACACCACCTGGGGTGCAGCTCAAGGAGATGCTGGGGCTGCCAACTCCTAGCCTGGATGAGCTGTGACTCTTGGGGAGATGAACAATAACAAGCCAGCCTTGGCATGGCCAGCTGGGACTGTGTGGGGCCAGGAGGGGCAACCAGCTCTGCAGGATACAGACTGGCAGCACCAGATAGTTCAGTTGCTCACCATAAATTTAGGAAACGTTCCTCAATTATTCTGCTTTTGACTCACTGCATTCTGCTTAAGTTGCTTCAAGACAAAGAATGTAAAGTAATGGGCTTTTCCCTCTGTTCTGCTGGAAAATTTCTATGACATTTTCTTCTTAAATTGTCTGAGAAAAAAGCATCAAGGAATTGTTTAAGAAAAGATGTTCTGGTACTCCTCCAGATGGCACATGGGATTATATCAGCCAAACCTCATCATCACCCAGAGCAGGTGAATGCTGTGATGTCTTGTCCAGTTAGCAATGTGCAGTGAGCCATTTTTGAGTGGTGGACTCACCATCCCTGCACATATTTAAAAGACATGTAGATATGGTGCTGAGGGACATGGTTTAGTGGTGGACTTGGCAGTGCTGGATTAACAGTTGAATATTAAGGTCTTTTCCAATCAAAACAATTTATGAATTTCTGTAAAACAGGATTATCAATCTACAGAGATTTTATTCTTGGCAGAACATGGAAAAAGCATCACTCTAAAGTACCAATATTTTCTTAGTAGGTGGGAATACTCTTTTGCTTCCAGCTGAATAATTTAGTAATGGTTGAGTTGATTACTCATAGTTACTGACTGTATTTGCTGATAATTTGGTGATGAAGACGCTCAGATATGCCAGGGAGGACTCAGCAGTTTCAAGGATGGTATGGGGATATTCCCCCCAGGTAGAGTTAGAAAACCCTGAGAGGGGAGGAGAGCCCAGACTCTCTGGAAATCCCAGTGAAGTACTGAAGAAACACCAACAATATAAAATTGAAAAAGGATTGCTAGAGTGGTGACATAGGGGCTCTTTGGAGTTGGAGTAGCTGGGAGTTGGTCAGTAGCTGAACCTGACAGAGAAAGGAGAAACAGCCTATTTTGTCCTGTGTCTTTTATATGAAAACCAACAACAAACTATTATGCAGAGTTTTCATACTGAATTGTCTACTTTGAATTCGGTTAATTTTTTTCCCCCCTTTTGCTTTCAGCTGACTTTAAGAAAAAGCTTTTTTTAAGGCAATTAGCAAACTTTAAGGTACTCCATCTAGTGGTGGACTTGGCAGTGCTGGATTAACAGTT